CCTCACTGCCGCCGCTTTCCCGCAGGGACGGCCCCGGCGCCCCCGACGGCTCCAGCTCCACACACAGCTCCCCCGAGAGCCGCCGAAACCCCGACAGGTCCCACAGCTGGCACGGGCATCGGGGACCCGGGGACAGGAGGGCACTGGAGTGGGGTGGCACTGGGGGGGGGAATACATGGGGGTTGGAAGGCACTGGGATGCTGTGGCGAGAGCACAGGTTCGCACCGGTATGGGGTGAAACCAAGACGAGGTGACATGGAGACAGGGTGATAATAGGGTGACACGGGGACTGGAGGACACTGGGACAGGTTATCACAAGAATGGGGTGGCACTGGGTTGGAATGGCACTGAGATGGGGTGACACCAGAGTGACACGGGGACAGGGTGACATGGGAGCTGGAGGCACTGGGATGGGATAGCACAAAACCAGAGTGACATTGGCACTGGGATGGGGTGACATGGGAATACAGGGATGTAGTGACTGGGGGCGTGCAAGGACTGGGAGCACTGGGATGGGGTGATAGCAGGGTGACATGGGCACTGGAGGGCACTGAGATGGTGCAGCTCAAGGGTGACACCAGGATGGGGTGGCACAGGGATGGGGTGGCACAGGGATGGGGTGACACAGGGATGGGGTGGCATTGGGACAGGGTGGCATTGGGACAGGGTGATAACAGGATGACAGAGGGACTGCTGGAGGATACTGGGATGGGACAACGCAGGAACACAATGGGCTGGGGTGACCTTGGGCTGGGGTGGCACAGGGATGGGATGACACCAGGACAGGGTGGCATCAGCATGGTTGGCACAGGGCAGCATGGGGACAGGACACCAGCGGGATGGGGTGTCACGGGGACAGGTTCACCCAGGAGCTGAGTGGCACAGAGTCTGTATGTCCCAGGGACAAGGTGGCAGGGGGCTGTGGGGTTGCACTTGGGCACATGCCATGGGGACAGGTCGCTGTGATGACAAGAGACATGGGGACAGGATTGCATGGAGCTGGGACCTCGCAGGGRTGGGATGGGATGGGGACAGGGTGGCATGGGGATGGGACAGGGATAGGGCGACATGAGTATGCAGTGTCCCGAGGTGGGGTGGTGTGGGGACAGCGTGTCCCGGGTCCAGCGCAGCATCGTGGTGGGCCGTGGCAGTGGCCACGAGGCGCAGTGCCAGCCTGTTGTGGCCTTGGGGACTGTCCCTGGCCTTGGGGACTGTCCCTGGCAGGGCCGAGAAGCCGGAGCCGCCGGATTTGTCCCGCTCGTCGTCCAGCGCCAGCAGCTTCGGCAGCGCCGCAGAGGAGCCCGGCGAGCCCGGACGGGTACGGGGAGCCCGGGCAGGACCGGGGGGCGTGGGGCGGTCGGAGGTGGGCAGCGCCCTGTGACCGTCCCTGCTCCCTCAGGAGAGCCGCTCGCCCTCGGGGAGCCACCGCGACGCCTTCACCGACACCCCCTGGCCGGATGACCCCCCCGAGACCCCCCCAGGTAGCCCAGCAGCCGCGGGTCGGGGTGCCGCGGGGCTGGGGGACCCCTCGAGGGTCATGACACCCCCATTTCCCCAGGCCGCCGCCCACCTGACCCCCCCTGCCCCGAGATCAAAATCCAGCTGGAGCAGCCCCCCCACAATCCGGTAGGGCAGTGCCCCTCCATCACCAGTGTGCTCCAGTATGGGGGTGCCCACGCTGGGGTGCCCCCACTGATGTCCCTCTCACAGGGCTCATAGTCACCCCCCCACTCGTGGGGGGTCACCGCTTCGCCCCCTCCGTTGCCATCCCCGTGCCAGGAGCTGAAGCCATCGACCCGGTGCAGGATTTGGGGGGACCCCTAAAAAAAATTGGGATGTGTCCCCCTCCAGACAATCTCTGTCACCGCAAATACCCCTCGGGTGGGGGGGTGATGCACCATGAAGGGTTCCCCCTCTGTTGTGACCCCCAAAATGAAGAATGGGTCCAACCCCAGCATCATCCCTTCCCTGAAAAGAAAGAGGGGGCTCAAATCCAGGGTAACCCCAAAGTGGAGCTCCCCCTTCCCCTCCCCCCCTTTATTTTAAGGGAAAAAAGTTCCAGAATGGGACAGAGACTGGGGGGGGGG